GCTGCTTCTATACTATTGATCCAGATTCGACCAATCCTATCGCGACACGAGTCGGCGATGACGTTTTACTGCGTTCTACGCGTTCCTTTTAGCGTCTTTATACGAATACTGTCGCAATTTTTTTGCCGCGTTATAGGAATTTGCGTTAGAGGAACCCGCGTTATAGGGGTCTATTGTATTTCTATTCTTAAACGGTACACACCACGCATTTACGGTATTATGACTTATGGGACGACTTATGGGAATTACGGGACGATACGTAAATTCCTCCCGATTCTTTTGAATCTTTTTAGACGTTCACATTCGAAAAATTCACGGTTTAAATTACAAGCAAAGTGCATTCATTAACCGTTTGGGTCTGCGCTTTTTACAGTACAGTTGTCCCTCTATAGTCCGACGTTTTTTAATCCGACATGCTCAGTAGTCCGTCGCACCTCCCGTCAAGGTACCCGTTTCCGTTACGTGTCTGCTTGCACAGAAGCATGTTGCGATGTGAATCTCCCCATCCAATTCTTACTCGATGACACACATTTCGTGTGTTTTATGTGAGCAGTTCTGTTCGAACAGTTAAATTAGAAAATATTGTAAGTTACTGCTAGCAAAACAATGCGAAATATGTGATTATTTTCGGTAATCCGGACACTTTTGGTAATCTGACATACCTTTCATCCTATACCTGTCAGATTATCAAGGGACAACTGTATTAAAAGATTGGTAGATAAAAGGGAGGTTACTATATTTCAAGTGTATTATTTTTCGGTACAAAGAATAATCATAAAATTGAAATTTTTATTCATCTTTACACAGACACGAAACACGAGATTTTTGAATACATATTACTGTTAACACAAATGTATACGCAAGGAACGTTCCGTCATAATCTGTCTCTTCAGCGACAGAAAGGCGGAAAAATGAAGAAATTCGCTGAAAAATCCATCAAATTTCGTGGCGACGTAACAATAAAACTTTGACAATTTGTTGCGAGTGGTGGACTATTGTTATCGCGAACTGTGGGATTTTTGGATCGTACGATTTAAAGTCATTGATTTCAAGCGTTTTACTGAGTTTTTCATCATTTGCAGTGATTTTATCGGAAAGTTTGGACTACGAACTTTATAAATTTGGTTATTTTTGAACATTGTTAAGCCGAATATCACAATTAGTGGCAATGATTTTCCTACAAAGCGCAGTTTAGATAAAAATTGATCAGTTTGGTCACAGAGACGACGAATGGGGTCTTTCCTCTTATTTTAAAAGATACCTTTCATCCTTGTACTCCCTATAATATAATATATTATGTTATATTAGGGAAACTTGAAGTACCCTCAAGTATCACTTTGCATACCCCACGCGGAGACCACAGCACTACTGTCGTGTAGGCTTAACGGTTGGCAGAGACAAAGAATTTTTTCTTTCGCTTAGGCGATTCGGTTTTCAGCAGAGGGTCAGCATAGTAAGACAAAGTGGTATTACACTGGAATCACGTCTGAGGAAGACCTGAATACGAGCTACTGACCCTGCATTGGGAATGAACCGACTCAATTCCTTTTTCTTGTCACATCAGAAATTATCAATGTTTATGTAACTATTTCAAATAGATGTTTTTTAGCCGTGTCAAGCAACTCACCGATGTTATATTTCAAACGCAGTTCCATCAGTGGAGACTGCACCAAATCTCATATGAGTAACTCCAATTTATCCAAGACTTTTCCCGCTTAAATGCCAATTGATTTTATTTTATTAATTTTTTATTTCTTATTTTTTCGTTTACTTTAATTTTTTTATTACGCTTTCCTTTTTTATTTGTACTTTTATTCACATTATTTTCTTTTCTCTACAATAAATCACTTATAATCTTTTGTTTGTGAGATAACATTGCTCAAACTGCTCTCCTAGGCTAATACAACGATAAACGTCGTTTAGAGTTGTTCGATGTCACACATCTAGTCTAATATATTTTATTGATAATTTTAGACAAACTTACTTGCTATACATTTAAAAGATTAACTTCCAATATCAATTTGAATTTTAAGATATAACCAATTGAACAACCCTTTATCTGATATGTAATATTATTACCTACATGACAAAAATTTTTTATTTACAAATTCAGGAAGAATAAACGTAAATAAATTCAAAGTTTAAATTAAAACTGCATTACAGTATAATTTTCAGGTATTAAATATTTTAAAACTATTTTAAACCGCATTACACAAATACAATGTAAACTACATTTATTGTTATGAAAATACAATTGTATATATTTTACATGTCTTCTCTGCTATTTCTCAGAACAAAAAGGCAGACATGGTATACCGAGTTTCAATTAATATTATATGGGAGTGCTACTTTGCGGAAGAATATCAGGCGACAAAAGTTGAATAAAACTGATTTTGATAATGCATACTGTTCTAATTGTTCACTTTCTTATAGATTTTGTGATAAATACATTTTTGTTTGTATATTGGCACAATGAAGTGACCTTTTTTTATGAACACTTGGCAAGTTTTCAATCTTTATTTAGTTAGTTTTCAACTTTTATTTTATCAAATAAATATATTTATTTGATAAAATTTCCGTTAATAATTTAGGTTATAATCCTAATAATTTATTTATTTGATAAAATTTCCGTTAATAATTTAGGTTATAATCCTAATAATTTATTTATTTTTTATTATGACAACGCAACACCTGGGCGATCTGCCAAGAAGGAATGCCTCCAGGGAGGTCTTTTAAGGAAAAGGGGTCCTATTTAAATGTAAACGCGAGTTAAAACACGTTTAATAATTCTAACTGGTGTCAGGAACCTGACTTAACAGATCTTCCATGTCACCCCTCAATTTAGAAAATAACTCCTGAGAGTGAGCGGGATCCACAGCTTGATATCATATGTTGATCCATGCTGCACAAGGTGAGCTGAAACTTACGACTTCCGATTTCACAAATGTTGATTTAATAAAGTGAATGGATATATATCAAAATTGGTATTGTCCACTTATCCCATTAGTAAGTCTTGATTTTAACAAAAATGACTTCAAAATCGATTAAAAAATATTAATTTTTTTTCCAGAATGACGCTGCATCACTGACAGCAAGGGTAAAAAATGGCATGAACAATAAAGGCTTTGGAATTTTGATTTTAATTTCGTTTTTGTATGACGATAATCTTCACCGGAATGGACACATTTCATATTTAGTTCATTATCGTAGCCCTATCCGTGCATGCATATTTTGAATTTTTAGCTTAATGGTTCTGAATCTTGCAGTAGGCATATTAATTTAGTCAAGCCAGCTCTAGTACTAAATTTCACATACTCGAAGCATATTTAAATAAACAATAATAACATTTTCAAAGTTACTAATTAATAATACTTACCTTCAATAAGAAAACTAGGGAGTTGAAAAAAACCTATGCTAATTAGTGGCGGAGTAATTATATATCAATAGCTGAGTGTGTCTTCACACTGGCATCGTATTACCGTTAGTGTTGCGATATAGTTTATTCATAAGTGGAACATGACGTAGACCTGCGAGTAAATTGTTGAGTGACATAAATTATAAACCAGATTCAATAGTAAACATTGAAAAGACGTTATTAATAATGACTTGTGATGTCGACAACTCTCTTATCGTGATGGATGTCGATAAAAATCTTGCGAAACTCTAAAAAGTAACGCGAAAATATACAATTTATTTCACTTATCAATTTGTATCTTCACTTAAGATAAATCGTTTATTACCTTAATTAGAAAAAATAATACTGCTCGAAATAAGAAAATATCAAAAATTGTCTACTGAATTTTTGACCAGGTATTTCCTGGTCAAAAATTATTTCCTGGATATTATTGGATAAATTATTTCCTGGTACCAATGAAGGTACCAGGAAATATTCCTGGTACCTTCATTGGTACCAGGAATATTTCCTCTTGAATGCGTAAAGACATGCGTTGTAACAAAGGTACATGACCTCTCATTGGTAATAAATATGTGATTGGCATTTGTTGTCCGGAGATAAAGCAAGAGAAGAAAATATAGGGAATGGGACTTTTTAAAGATATTCAGTATTTTCTTTAAACTTCATTGTACGTACGTATATTTCATTATAATTTATAGAGTTTTGCATTTTATTATATTTATTTCAAAATGTTTTGTAATGTACGTTATATTCCTACTTATCGTATCTATCTTTAAAGTGATAATGGAGAGTTTTGTCTGCATCCAAAGAAAGGGAGGAGATTAAGAAACTTGAAAAAGCTGGGACAACAGGGGAGGAACAGTAAAAATTTGAAGAAAAATGCAGACGTAACTTATGAATATTTTCAAATGCAGTAACCCATCGATAAACGTAATTTATTGAGTATTAAATTTTAATGGTAATATTGGGAGTGACCAGTTGAATTGTTTGTCTGTATCGACAATAAAACGGAGAGACCGATAACCAGAGACCCTCAGACAAAGAGTAGTTCAGATGAAGTCACAAAGTATAAATCGACTACCGCCTAGGTTTATTAAGCATCTGTTTTAATTTGAAAAGCGTCACCCTGGATTGAAATACAATGAATAAAAGCTGAAACAAAATACAGTAGAGCCTCGAAAACTCGGCCTAATGTGGACCGAAGGGTGGCCGAGTTTGTGAAAATGCCGGGTTATCGAGAATGTGGTTAAAAAAATAAGTATGAGTGTTTCCTCAGAAAATACTGTACTGTACTTGTATGTATTGTTTACTTGAGAATATAACAGAGAATAAACTCCCCACATGCCCTTAAACAATAGAAAAGTACGTCTTTTATGAAGGCATAGAGCCTTTATTACATGAAAATGAAAATTAATGAATACACTGTACAGTAATTTACCTGATAAGACAGACCTCAGAAAAATACTTTATGAGGCATAAAGTTGTCTTTATCATGAAAATTAATTAACTAAAAATTTTTTTGCCCTGCCAGGGTGTGGCCGAGTTATCCGGAGTGCCGGGTTATCAAGTGCCGAGTTTTCGAGGCTCTACTGTATTAATTGATGCTTACGAAAATCTACTGTGATTATAGCGTATATAACGGATATCGCATTTCGTAGTTTTTATTCAGAATTAATGTCTTTGTAATCGATAAGCTTTTAAAATAGGTAAACAACTATATATTTCAATTAGTAAAGTAAACCAATTAAAGAGAGTTGCCATAAGATACATGATGGATAGAGCTTGAGAATATTTATTTTGACACTACTCCAAGTGATCTATGAGCAGATTAGAATTGTATAATAATCAAACTAGCGTCGTTATATATCCCGATATTTCGAGTAAATTTCTGTTTATATGAAGTTCCCCAAAAGCACCGGCAAACATGAATTCAAATATCGAAGCAGTAATTTGCATGAACTGTTTCCTCGCACCATGTTGGACCACGGCTCTGGTTTATGGCTTGGATCGATTCCGAGTTTGTTTTTGTAAGCAGCGAATTTACAAACTCAAATATCCAAGCTTGACGAACATCTACGTTCGATGCGTTCAGTTTATATTATGGCAATTTACCATTCTTGTAATGTGGCAATCTTCACCACGTTTAGGTGAATATGCATTTTGTCTTGGATGGTTTGACGTCTTTCAAGACGATGCCATGTTAATGAAAATCTTTATTGTTGTAATGTTTTTGTCTTATTCGATCACTTTGACCTTTATCAGCCACAACAAGATCGATCTGATTACGAAATTACGAAACGAAAGGTTCTATGAAACAATGGTTGTCCACAATAATGCTCTAGTAAGAAAAGTCTCTCTCTATGTTTCATTCATCGCTATATTATTAGCCATCGTTTTTCAAATTGTCAACTTGAATGTTTATTATCCGGCTTTTGCAAAAAAGCAACACTTTCAATTTGAAGCTCTTATATGCACGGTTGCATATGGATTTGTAACGACTTTAACTATAGGAGGCATGACACATGGTATACTGTTGGTTGCCTTAGTCATGCATGTTTCTTACAGAGAGTTTGAAGACGTTTGCTCGGATTTCTGCGTAATAAGGTGCAGTGACAGAAATCTAAGAAAAAAATTACAAGATTTAATGATCCGTCATCAAGAATTGTGGACTTTTATAAATCAGTTGAACACAAAATTCGGTATGATTTTGGAAGTTGTTTATTTCGGAATAATTTGGGGAACGAGCTTTTTGTATTACGCTTACTTGTATATTCACATGTATGGGATTTTAAGAATTTGGATATTCATGCTGATAATTGTTCTTTCGTTTGTCTGCATTATATGGGGCTGTTTTCTATGCTGCATTGCTTTCACGGTATTTATCATTATTATTATTTTAAAACATTTTAAATATTTTAATTGTATTTGTTTTAATATTTTAGATGCAAAACGGATTTCAAGACATTCGGCAATTTTCAACTTGCGATTTGGATTTGCCACAACAACTAAAAGTTATTTTGATTTTATTGTTATTATAAATTAGATTTGTTTAATAAATTTAATATTGAATATAAATTCTTTGTCAGGTATTGGATTTCATGAAAAGATTTGGAAAAGTCTCCTTGTGTTTGTTCATTGGTTTCCGCTACGTGGATAAGAGGATTCCTCTGAAGGTACTTACGTTTATATTTACAATTGTGAGCAGATGTATAGTTACGCTTTTTAACTGTTAATTGTATCTAGAATAAGAATTTTAATAATAAGAATTTTATATATGTTCACTTGTAGATGGCTTCAACTCTACACTCCGTGTTCTCGGGTTTATTAAAGTTGAAGAATGCAGCAAATTTCCATAGAAGCTGTCAGCAGACGTTCACTAACTTCTCTGGTTGAAGAGAAAACAATCAAACTTCGTTCACGTGTACTACAACATGAATAACGTGTAGGTTTATATTACAGATTTACCAGCGATTATCACAGTTTAATTATATTGATTCTGTTAATTGTTTCGGNAATTTTTAATTGTTTTCAACAAAATGATTCAAACATAAACTCTTGTTTGAAATATTTAGCTTTATTTCTCCGAAACGGCCCACCAGTCTCCAAGCGGTTTTCGTTCCTCGAACACTGGGAGTTCGGTTTTGGGTTCGTGCTTATCTCGAACGGGCTGGCCACGTGGGTTCTCTCTACGTCTGTAACGCCTTTTGTAATTGCCTTGGTCTTTTGAGATATTTGTTTCTAGGCTAAGCTTTGTCTTATGAATATACTAATGAAGATCAGAAAATTGAAATCCATATATGAGAAAAACAAAGAGAATAAGAAACAGTAATGGTTTTAAAGTCTTTTTAATGCCAGTTTACTGTTTTCTCTAGATTTTATCTTGGATACAGTCGGCAAAGAGTTAAATATATGCTCTCCATCACAAATTAGTAGTGGTTTGTTTCTGTACAGTACATCATCATCATACTTTTTTTTCACTGATAAAGAAATGTCGGTCATCTATCGCCTTTCGGGAGAAACATTTCGAATCGAACTAACTGACTTTCGTTCTTCTTCGGAGGTTCGTCTATAGTTAATTGAGCCTTCTGTCCCTACACAGACCATATTATATTTTTGTTTTCGTATAGTTTTTAAGAAGATTATGCGTATTTTCTTACATATTCCAATAAATCTGACAATTTCGAAATATAAATGTATAACGGGTACGTCCTATTGAAACCGATTATCAAGTTATAGGGGAAATACGGACAAAATGACATACGGTTTTATTTTAGTTTCATAACTCTATATTGGTTAATCAAATCACTGTCATATTCTACACCAATTATCTTTGGTTCTTTAGCTGTGAAATATACTAAACATTTACAAGATTAAAATAATATAAAAAAAAATATCGTTAGTTTAATTGAGATTATCCAAAATCCATTTTGTCCATAGTATATGGACAAAATGACACATTACGTAAGGACAAAATGACACACGTAAAAACTATAAAATTACTGACAAAGTTCACAAATGAAACGCTTGGTTTTTTTTTGAAACGTCAGCGCAAGAAGCATGAGTCCAACAGAAACAATTTAAGCATCGTAACACAGCGGCGGCCTTATCCGTTGCGAGGCTCTGGGCAGCAGATCTTTGCGAGGCCCTGGGCGGCAGATCTTTGCGAGGCCCTTGTCCTTTGTGCATAGTATGTGAATTGAAATAGTAGGCACTTATTAATATTAATATATACTGTACTATAAATTAAATTTATTTTATTGTTAAAACTAATAACCAAGGATAAAATAAAAAGTTTTAAATATCAACTTTTTTCTACTTGGTTGTTGCGCGAGTTCCCTCCAAGAGCGAGGCCCCGGGCGATTGCCCTGCTTGCCACCCCCTAAGACCGCCACTGTCGTAACCAGTCTCCTCCAGGCTTAGATCGGGAAAAAACATCATCGCGATATATGCGTGGACAGTCTTCTTCATCATCATGAGAGTTATCAGGAAAATTTTTTTCTTCAAGTAACTTTTTAGTAAATTTCGTTTCCTTTTCTCTGCCGGAGCTTTGGACACATTTTTTTTATTTAGTTGTCTTCATATTAGGAGTAGAAGTTAAAACTAAAGAGGTTTGTCGAGTCACGGGATTCGTTGCAAGTTTTTTGTTATGTCAAAAATAATAAGTTTGTAAATAATATGTAAGAAAGGAAACAAAGTTTTATACTAAAATTTCTTTTAAACAATAATGAAAGACTTTGTTTGAAAGACATTTTTGATAATTAATAAAACGTTAAGAGATTAAGGTAAGTTCCTTGACTAAGATCTTATGGACTAAATGACAGGTATGTCATTATGTCTGTTGTCTGTGTATGTCGTTTTGTCCATATAACGTTATAAAAAACAAAATTATAAAATAAATACAAAGATGTTATTTTTAAGAAAAAAAATTATTTAAGTGCGACAACAAATTCTTGAGAGTTGAAATAAATGTTACACAAATAGATAAAATAGTGAAAAAATTACCATCTATACAAAAAACTTGTTGCAAGGAAAAAACTCATAACGTATAATATCTTGTTGTCGGCCATGACACCCGGGCAAATGAGAGGAGTGCGTTCACATTTTGACAGGTTAGTAAGAGCCGCTCGGATAACGTGGTGTCATGGTCAGTTGCTAGCTTGAGAACGCCTAATTCGAATTATGTTGCCTATGTCATTTTGTACGTATATGTCATTTTGTAGGTATTTCCCCTACATGGATAGGCTTTTTATTCTTCCAGTTTGGTGATATTCTGATTTCTACACTGCTGCTGTTTTCCGTATTACAGTAGATCCCCCTATAACGCGGTAGATACGTTCCACGTCATACGAATTTCGCGTTGTAGGAATCCTTAAATACATGAGCCAATCACAGCCCGACACGTGTGCAGTTTAGGGACTACGGCTGTTTGAAAGGTTTTCTTCAATAAAATTAATCTAATTCGACTCATCATTTCCAAAACACGTATAATTTTTTGGAAATAATATGTATAAACTATGCTATAAACAAAAAGTTGTAGGATTACTTACCGAGTGTACACCGTTTGACGTCGCCATTGCTTAAGCTTGTTTTCGTCGCGGAGCAGCACACCAAACGGCGGCCGCGATTTCTGATAAGTTATTTTTCTGCGAAAAATTCGTTGAACTTTAAAGACATCATTAATAGAAATAATTTTTATGGCCGTTGAATAAGAAATGTGCGTTGAATAAGAAATGTTTCTTTCACAAGAAATGTATAAAATTAGTGCTGTATCAGACTTACGGTACCTAATTTACAAACTGTGCAGACAATAGTAAACTCAACTTACTCGCCTAAACTTTCCGTAGCGTGGCGCTGGACGGCGGAAAGTAGTTCGGCTGCTCGTCCACTATTGGTCCAGATTCGACCAATCTTGTCGCGACACGAGTTAGCGACGACGTTTTACGAGTCCCTTTATACAAATACTGCCACAATTTTTTCTCTACGTTATAGGAACCCACGTTATAGGGGGGGTCAACTGTATCTGTAATCTCTATGTACAATTTAGTCTCTACAGGTGACACCA